AGCCTGCAATTCATCCTGAGTTTAAATTGTGGAAAACAACGCTCCAGCACAAAACAACTTTGATAACCAAGACTGTGTGTACACGGCACTACCCTCTCCTTATCCTGGTCTCGTCTACACCAGCAAATTTTGAGAGAAGATATTTGATTCGTCAAACATGGGGTGCCGATAACAACAATGTTCCTCAGTGGAAGACATACTTTCTCCTTGGCCAGACAAGGGATCAAACACATTCAGATTTACTCAAAAAAGAAGATAGCGTCTATGGCGACATGATCCGTGCGGATTATTATGAACATTACTGGAACCAGAGTTTGAAGATACAGATGGCCTTCGAATGGGCAGCCAGATATTGTAATTTTTCTTACCTTCTCAAAGCAGACGACGATATTTTCGTCAACTCTAAACGTTTACTGGATGTCTTACAATTGAAATCAACGCCTAAGAAAAGCCTTTATATGGGTAAACTTCATCACAATCCGTTTGTACAGCGAGACGGAAAATGGCGTGTCAGTTATGAAGAATACAGAGAAACACAACATCCAGATTTCTGTAGTGGTGCTGGCTTTGTTATGTCATATGATGTAGTCAAGAGTGTGGTTCCTTTATTTGATGTGATTAAGCCGTATAGACTAGACGATGTATATGTTGGAATGCTTGCAGAAAAACTCGGTGTAAGAGCAGTGAACCATGGAGGGTTTGTTATGCCAGATATTGAGATTCTTCGTGATGAATGTAATTTTGTTCCGAACACTCTTGTACAGCATCGAGCTATCGGAGAATGTTTAATTACATTGTTTAAGATTCACAATGGCTCTTCAGAGTTATAATTAATAATTCAATTGAAAAACATATTCCGTGTTTCTATTGGGTTTTGGTAGAATTTTACTACAGTAGTATAGTAATGGAAATGCAGCAATCTTATTGGTTGAGCTATCGTACACTATCAGCCATTAGTGTGCAGTGGCTGGGGGTCGTCCATACTGATTGGTAACGTTTTCTCTTTTCTCGGATGTTCTGAGAAAGATTTCGAAATATTACCGGATAATTGAATTTTTAAGAACATTGGAGAAAGGAAATTGTTGACCTGCATTCGACTTAAAAACTTAGAATTTTTCCATGAACTGATGAGCACCTGTAAGGGGCTGTAAAAATATAAACATTAGAATAAAAATAAGTTCGCAAAGCGTACTTGTGGTGTCATGCTTAGTTTTATTCCATTCAGTTGGAGTGTTGTTTTTAAATGTTAGTATCTGGGAGTTGAATTGCTACAAGTGAGAAGGTAGAAAAGTCGTTATAAATCTAAAGTGGGAAATTTATGGCAGAACACTGTTTACTTATTTGATTTAACCTCTACGCCTAATAATAATAATTTATTTACCTGTTAGTCCCTGCGGGACATAACACAACAACAATCTCTCAATTTAGCCCTATTTTGTGCAGCATGTTGTGCCTTGTTCCATGTGAGACAGAGGTTTAACTCTCTGAGCTCGGCACTGTTTACACATGTCAAGTGAACTTGCAAGTTCGCTTGACATGTGTAAACAGTGCCTCCCTTTTTCGATTTACATGTTATTTACAGGCTCTCTTTTTCAATTTACATGTTATTTAGAGCCTCCCTTTTTCTATTTACATGTTATTTACCGGCTCCCTTTTTCGATTTCCATGTTATTTACAACCTCACTTTTTCAATTTCCAGGTTATTTTCAGGCTCCCGTTTTTTATTTACATGTTGCTTTTAGCCTCCCTTTTTTCGATTTACAAGTTATTTACAAGCTCCCTTTTCAATTTCCATGTTATATACAGGCTTCCTTTTCCGATTTACATGCTATTTACAGGCTCCCGGCTTTTTCAATTTCCACGCTATTTACAGGATCCCTTTTTCGATTTACATGTTATTTACAGGCTTCCTTTTTCAATTTATATGTTATTTGCAGGCTCCCTTTTTCGATTTCCAGGTTATTTACAGGCTCCCTTTTTTCGATTTATACGTTATTTACAGGCTCCCTTTTCGATTTACATGTTATTTACAGGCTCCCTTTTTCAATTTCCATGTTATTTGCAGGTCCCCTTTACAGGCTCCTTTTTTCGATTTACATGTACATGTTATTTACAGGCTCCCTTTCTCGATTTACATGTTATTTACAGGCTCCCTTTTTCGATTTACATGTTTTTTGCAGGCTCCCTTTTTCGATTTCCATGTTATTTACAGGCTCCCATTTCTTATTTACATGTTGTTTACAGCCTCCCTTTTTTGATTTACACGTT